TGTCCTTCTGATTCTGTAACACAGATATACTCAGCACATTAAAACACATCGACACAGAGGATAAATACACCTAAACTGCTGTCGATAATGCGTTTCCACTGTAACAGTGCACACTTAGGCCACTCTTGTATCACGTGTCAAACAACAGCGTCCTTCACTCTCATTCAAAGTCACGTCAGTCATGCTGCTGAAGTGAGATTAACTTGATACCTGAACACTTTGCATTGCCAGTGGTTACTATTTCACCTGTCATCCTTACAAGTCACCTGCCGGGACGAGTAGCAGGCTCCAGAGAGCGGTCAGAGTAATGGTTTGTTGTTTGTTGTTAATGTTGATCAATGGTCATGAGAATTTGCATAATTAAGATTAAGGAACTGACCTCCCAGCCCTTTGTTCCTTCAGTGGGCTGGTTTCAGTCATTATGCAAATGTACCGTTTATAAGATTTGGGGAAACCTGCAGTCAGCTGAGACTGAAGAAGTCACTTGGATGAGTGACGAAACGTTTCTCCCACAAAACGCTACGTCCAGATGAACAGAATCCACTTTTGGAGAGGTTAGAGTAATGCTGGAGCTCCTTAAAATGCCCCAGTTCCAGGGGCACAGGAACCTTTTCACAGCTCTTATGACTGCAGGAATTAGGTACTAGAAGATTTCTTGGAACCCTGTTTTTTTGGGGTCTCTTAGCTCCTACTTCAGGAGGTGTTTAACCTTTTAATAACTGAACAGTGATTGGTTCAGATGTGAAAAAAATGCACACTAGATCACAGGGTCAAGAACACTCTGATCCAGACTCTCATGAGACTCCGTAACATCTCAGCATCCCTCAAGAGGAGCTGCTAAGTGGGACATCTGGAGTATCTTTTTTATCTTCCAGCAGCAAATGGATGAATGGACTGTCTCTTACCTGTAACTGGTTCATCAAGGACCAGCTGCCCTCCAGGTTTGAGCACTCTGGCTATCTCTGCTAGAGTCTCTGAAGTGTGGATGGAGGAGCTGTCAGCCAGAAGGCAAGAGAGCACCCAGTTGAAGGTGGAGGCCGCATGAGAGGCTGAGGAGAGGACAGGAGGAGACAATTAATGTGAAATACGCTATGTTCTGAACTGCAAACTAAAGTATTTCACAATGGAGCAGGGGTTCAAAGTGAGACGTAGGAGGTGGGTTAACCATAAGACTCAGTGTGGAGGTGCACTGGAAGAAAATTGATATTCTTTGTGAATTCGAGTTTCCTTTGTCTTAAAGTTCTGTCGACTCAGAAATATTCATTTGCAAGTTTCATCAATAACCTCTTACAGGCAGATCTGTGTGCACCAGGTACATGAAGTGCATTTTAAATTCTCGCCACCTCAGAAAGCACCTCTCTTTAACAGCTGTTCTCCTGAGTAGTTAAGTAGCAGTTACGATAAGTACTGTAATTGTGACTATTTTTAGACATTTGCACACATGAACTCATGACAGAGATGCAGGGGAATTTAACGCGTGTTGATTGTGGTGATGATGACAGTCTACAGCTGCTGTTTCAGCAGTTTTCCTTAAGAGGTTAAGCAAGCAAGCAATTTATTTATATAGCGCTTTCAGATCAGCCACGAGCTGAACACAAAGTGCTGTACACTTGACATGCCAAACATGATACATTGAGCATGTTAAAAAAAATGAGAAAAATAGTAATAATAATATAAGATAAGTAATATATATATATAAACACATTTAAAACAATAAAATCAGGG